CTAATATTGGTTGAATTCTCACTACTTGTGCTTCGGACTTATTTACATACCAATTTTTTTACATTAACATGAGAGTAAATACGTGTCATTTCTTGCTGGTTGTTGGTTTACACTAATCTCTATTGCTTTTCCCTTTGGAAGAACCAGAGAGTCCAAAAACCGGATATAGCCAGGGTTGGAGCCACAAATAGGAGTATAAATGAGTTTAATCAAGTTGAATATCCTAATATTCAAGTTTATTTGATTATTTTAATTAGGTTGAAATTTTATTTAAATTTAACTTATTTATTTGCCGAATCAAGTTTGAATGAATTTTTTTTAATCAAATTTGAATGATTTCATTAGTTGGCGAACCAAGTTTGAACGAACGTTTACTTTGTTAAACTCGATTCGAATACCGAGTAGATTAAGTCATTTTTCAACCATAATCACAAGGGAGCAGGTTGGGGCAGCCAACCCCCAAGTTTTGGCTACTCTCCTTAAGTCCTTGAGGAATTTTACTAATTTTCATTTACAGTCTTTTTTTTTATTTTTTTTGCACCCCTCAACTTTCTGCCCACAAGAATTTAAAGAAAAATTTTCGCTGCCAGCCCCCTTCACTCAACTTTTGCCCTTAGGAAAGATAATAACCTTTCTAAATATTTTTAGGCTATTATTAAATTAGTTGATCTCCAAAGTTTAATTTCCAATTATATGCTTTATATTACACATTATCTTCTAAAAATTGTATGTATTGTTTCCAAAAATATCATTGTAAACATGTACTACAATTCATATTTGTAACTAATTTGACAATTTCATTCAGTATTTTCAAGTAAAACTTTGCCATATGTTCATGTAGTTTTTTTTTTAAAAAATTTTCGTGTAGGGTAGTAAGAAAGAAAAGATAAAAACATGAGTTACTATGTACATTTAACATACTAATGCATATTTTAATTCATTACTCGATATATGACGTCCTTATTATGTTTTTTAGACTTGATTTCGTTGGTCTTGTTGGAGAACATTGGTTTAAAATAATTCATTAAACTGTAATTAGATCAAGTCTAAATCATTACACTCATAAATTGACCTACTATTCGTGATTATAAAAAATTACGCTCATAAAAAAAAAATTTCACCTGTATTATTCGCTTTCCATACTCTAAAATTCTGGTTCCGCCACTGGATACAACATGCTATTGCAAATAAAGAATAAACTGGGGAAGAGAAGAGGAGAAGACATGAAGCTAAGTCGGCGACCACTACAAACTTATGGTAAGCTTGAAGCCAAAAAAAGTCCATGCAAAGGAAACGGGAAAATAGAATAGAACTTCCTCTGTAGATAAAGTCAACGGCACAAACAGAGACACGTAAAAATAGTGCATGTCGCACGAAACACTTCTTTCTTTGTTGAATTAAATGCCCTTGGTTTTTGTAATTCGCATGATTGAATTAATACCTTAAAACTTCACGTTACAAAATTGAATATTATACAAAGCCAATTTTTTGCATATCTGTCATGATTCAATAATGACAGTGTATATAAAATTTCCTTTATGTATATGTTGTTTCTCAGCTAAGGTTCACGATGAACTTATATTGGGGAAAACCACAAAAATGTTTAATGGCCAAGCTATTCTTGGAAAAGAACAGAGAGTACACATGCAAGCTTCAAAAAATGGCATTGATTTGGAGATCATCTGTGGTACATGATCTTAATCCTGGTTTAATGGGTAATAATTAAACATGTATGGCCAATGATCTTGTTAAGAACAACAATCTCCCTGGCTTTCTCACAGCTCAAACCGAATTTAGTATCAAGTTGCATAAAATGGAAATGTTTAACCTTTCTGCGTGAAATGTCTTTGTTTCCCAATTCAATGCATTGATTACGATTGACAATTTGAATATTAGCTTTATAAAAACTATACATGTAGAAAGGAAACTTTAAAATATTAAGGAGAAAAGATTGGCTTAACAAAAAAAAAGGCATTTTGGTACAAAGATATCCATTTTTTTTTTATTTTTGGTCAAACAAAGAGTTGAATCTGAGGTCCAAGTGTTTTAAAATAGGGAAAATGACTTGTTTCATCCTTCACATTTCGCAAAAATATTCTTTTCGTCCCTCACTTTTAAAATGAAGCAAATTTGTCCCTGACATTTAAAAATTAAAGTTATTACATCCCTGAACCTAATTTTCAATCTGAATCAAACCATTCAATAACCCAGTAATAAATTTCAGAAATAGAATTGATAGATCACTCGGTCAATTTCATCATATTCACATGACATTTATTAAACCAAAAAAATAAAAATTATAATATAAAAGGCCATTCTTTGTCTTGGAATAGTAGAGTTTTTTTTTGGGTAAATCTTTTCATATACCGTTAGTATATCCGCTTGCAAATCTAAATGTGTATCATAAATATAAAATTTAGCGTTTAAATTTAAATTGAAATGATATGGCTGTACATAAAACTGTCAGTGTATACAATGATAATGTAGGAAAGATTAATCTTTCTTTTTTATGTTATAATTTTTTATTTTTTCTTTTTGGGTTCATTAAATTTTACATGAATATCAAGTTGAGTTAACCAAGTGATCTACCAATTACACTCCCAAAATTTCTAATCAGGTTGATTGGTGGTTTGATTCAGATTGAAATTTGGATTCAGGGATGTAAGAACTTCAGTTTTTAAATGTCAAGGATGAAATTGCTTCGTTTTAAAAGTGAGGGACGAAAAGAATATTTTTGTAAAATGTGAAGGATGAAACCGATCATTTTCCCTTTTTTCTTCCAAAATATTTTTGAACAAATAATGTTACATAATGAGGGTGATGTTGTCATTTTGTACGTTGTGATGGTGACTTTTTATCGCATCTCACTAACAAAGAAGGTAAGTGATATTTTTAAAATTATAGGGATGATAAATAATATTGCTAAAAACTTTAGGGAAGGTTGTTTTCAAAATATTCCAGCTTTTGAACAATTTTAGCAATTGAAATGTTTTGAAACTGGACTGTTGAATGAACTGAATGAGTGATTAGTTTTGACTTATGAGTTCAAGCGTCTAGATCACTAGTTCAATCATTTTAATGTATTTTGAGCTTGAAAAATTTTTGATGTGTAGGAAATCTTACAAAAATCAAAATCCCTTGGAGTATAGAACTCCTAAAGAAGGCTTGGAATTTGTAAATGGTCCAAAAAGAATAAAAAGTTGATTATGACTACTTGAAAAAAAAAATCACATAAATTAAACAAAACTTTGTCTACTCCAATGTTACCCGGCCTCAACTTCCACAAGAGCTTTGAGGTTTTAAACTTGTAATTAAGTTGGATATTTGAGTATACCAATGAGCAAAATAGATGTAGAATTAGGATAGGTTCGGAAAAAAGATAAACAATGATGAAAGATTTGTGGCAAATGGTGTAAAAGATGGCGGTTTGTTCTACTGTTGGTTGTTATGGTAATCACATCTTCGTAAATAAATCTCATTTTTTATGCCTGGGAGAGAGAGAACCCAAAATGGGATGAATGGCATCAACAACAGTGGATTGCTCTCACGCCGCAGTTCAACTCATAGTGGTATTAACCAGATGATTATGAGGTTTTTGGTTTTAAGGTCTTTGTAAGATTTAGAATTTGCTTTGAAAGATGAGATGTAAGGTTTTGTAACTAAGATTTTGAGGAGCAAAATGAAAGTAGAAAGAACTTTAATGGTGCAAGGTGGGATAAACTCTAAAAGTTTAATGTTGCGTGACTTGACAATTAGAAGTCTTGCCCTTGATGTCTAGTCAATTATATAAGCTAGATTGAGGAACACTATTGTATATAGACAATATGAGACCTTTTTTTTTTTTGGTTTTTGGTCCTCCCATCCTTTCCTGTCTCCAATTGGGACGAGATTTGATAAAGTAATTAAGCAGCTATTAAAAGAACTAATTAATTTTTTTTTTGCCAGTTTGGACTTTGAACAATTAATCATGTTGATTGGAAAATAAAAGATGAAAAACGCCATAGAAAAATGTCTAGGAAAAATTACACTCTTTAGACTTCTGGAAAATTATTGCAAAGTTGAAGAATGCAAAGAAATCATTTCATAAGCCATTTCAGTTTGTGGCGGCAAAAAAAATCTTAAATGTTTAATGTCTCGTGTTTTGACGTTTAGAAGTCTTCCCCTTGATGCCTAGTCAATTGTACAATCTACGTAGGGGAACGCTATTGTATATAGAAAAGACGAGACTTGACAAAGTAATTAAGTAGCTATTAAGATAACTAATTATGCTTTGTGATGTTTCAATAATGGTCCATTCATGAAAACCGTGTAAGTTTGTAAACCGCGTCTATGCATGCGTAGGTAAATTAATAAGTTTTACTTTTTGTATAATGTCCGATTTTCTTAATTTTGTACGTTTCTTTTATGGAACAAAAAAAAGTGAAAAAAATTAAGGATACAAAAATCACAGAAACAAATATATAGAGAATACAAAAAAAAAATCAAAAGAAATCGGAAGAAATAATAAGAATAAATCTCCTATACACTGACAGACAGTTTATATATTATCACCGTTGAATCTATGACACATTTACAAAAATTAAATTTTAAATTCAAATTTTGCATAATTGTCATTCATCTAACGCTGATAGTGTATACACTTTTAGTGTAGAAAAAATTAATCTAAATAATAAACCCAACAAGCCAAAGCGAAAAATCAGAAAGGCAAAAATGAACCAGAGGCCCAAACAAAGAAAGACAGTCGAAAAACAAAACAGCGGAAATTTGGAATTTTCGATAACAATCATTATTGGGACGGCAGAAAGTTAGTGTCACTTTTCGCCTGGCCCTTTTTTCGCTCACAAAAGTATATATATATATATACAATTAGATGTCAAGTTAGCCTTTAATGTATGTTTAAAGCAATCTGACCAACCACCTTTTACAGTTTTAACATAGATAAAATTCCAATGGAGATGCCATCAATGTTATCAAAGCATTGATAGAACCAGAAGAAGGTGTTTCTGATATTGGGAATTTGAAAAATGATATTAACTTGCTTCTCCACAATATCCAAGGGTGTAAAGACATACAGATGAGAGATTACTGTAACCCAAAAAAAAAAAAAGGGATTGGGATCATAAATACTATTAAACATCAAACCAGGAAAGAGCATGGAGAACACTTTACAAGCAGATTATGATGGATATAATGTTGGATTGATAGAATGCAATGACAAAGTGATACAGCTGCATCAAGTTCAAACCAAACAATCTGGAAGCCCCAGAAATCGCTTCAATAAACATGAATTACTTTACCATCGAACTAATCCAATGCATGATTGTGCGTCCCCCTGCAATGACAAAGTAATACAGCCGCATCAAACCAAATAATTTGGTACAGACGAAAAAGAAGGTACATGAGGAATTATATATCATTAAACTGGATTAACATACACATACATACAATTATATCTAACCTGATGAGCGGGAATGATCACACCAAATCAAGAAGAGACAGAAATGCTTCACTGAGTGTAAATGAGAAGAAATAGACTCTCCTTCCAAGGAAATCTGCTGTGGAAGAATGAATAATTGCAGTATTAGATCAGTTGAATGAAGAACGGTTTCTAGATCTTTTGGTTTGATATTCAAGGCTATTTCTAGATCTCAATGCCAACGAAACATGCGCTTCACATAACAATGCTATGCAAATTATGAAGGACAAGTATTGATGCAAAATTTTGCTATTAAGTCCTATGCCCTTTCTCTGTTAAAAAGGAACACAACCATACCTCTTTTTTTTTCTTTTTGGTCTCCTCTTACTATTAATTTGTTGTAAAACTATTTTTGCATGTTTCAGCATATCAATCAATTGAGTTATGGTTCTTATTGAGGAAAAATAGAAGCAAGTTATACTTTTCTGTATTTACACAAACTGGGAACGGAAAACTTGTCCCCTGCTGCTGGTTTTTAGTATCATATCAATATGTAGCAGCATGGAAGAACAAGGAGAAGATTTTAGAAACAGAAAGTTATACAGCAGCATCAGGCTCAAACAAAAGAATTTGGAAGCCTCCAGAAATTGCTTCAATAAACATCAATTAATATATCATTAAACTGATTCAGCATATAAACAGATGAAAAAGAGAAACGTGAATTATTATATAATTGAACTGATTCAACGAATGCCAATATAGTTTTATCTGACCTGATGAGTGGAATCCCATTGTCCGTTCACTCTCACCATTGTCAGGCGTGATGAGAGGAAATAGACTCCTGTTTGTTTGTGTACAATGTAATGTGAGGGTATTCAATGTGCATAACCTCCCGCGAACTTACGGACTCCAATGCTATCATTTTCCTTTTCTAAGGTCATCTACTAAAATGGACCAAAAAAAAAAGGGCAAATTCCACTTTACCCTCCTGTGGTTTAGCATTTTTTTGACATAACTCCCCTATGGTTTCAAAAGCTATATATAACCCCTCATGGTTTGGATTAAAGTGCCAAAATAACGGGAATGATCATTCATAACGGAGTCACTAAAATGTCAAAAATACCCTTATGTAAAGTTGAAAATTATTTATTAACCAAGGGGGGTTATGTGTATATTTTGAAAATCATAAGGGGATTATATAGCAAAGTATTAAACCATAAGTGGGTTATATAGTAAAATACAAAAATCATATGAGATTAGTGTGTCATGTATTTATAAGGGTAATTACGACATTTCTAAAAATTCTGTTATGAATGACTATTTCCGTTACTTTGATACTTTAATCCAAACGATGAGGGGGTTATGTATAGCTTTTGAAACAATAGGGAAGTTATGTAAAAAAAGGCTAAACCACAGGGGGTAAAATGTAATTTGCCCAAAAAAAATTTAGTAAGGGATTTACAATTTGCACCCTCGAAATATCACCAATTGTGGTTTGCGCCGCCCTAAAGTAGCACTTGTAACATTATAAGGTATCATTTTGAAAAGGTTGGAAGCTGTGAAAGAGATTATCATGCAATGGAAGATTTTGAAAATTGCATACAGGAGATCGATGTAGAAGACACTCCATACAACGGATTTTTTGTTAACTTGGTGTAATGGTAGCTTTGTGATGCCAGAATTTATTGTAAATTGGATAGAATTTTATGTAATGAGAAGTGGTTGGAAAAATTTCCAAAGGTGGATGCGGAATTTCTACAACCTTTAGTGACTGATAATTGTGCTAGTTAATGACTGTTAAAGAAGTGGATTTTAGGCCTAACCTTTTAAATTTCACGCTTACTGGATGCGACATGAAGAATTTGACTCAATGTTAAGGATTGCATGGAACAGTGAATGTCAAGGTAATCCAGTTCAAAAATTGTGTTTGAAGCCGAAGAAATTGAAGAATTTACTGAAAGAGTTCAATCAAAAGAATTATGATAATATCTCAAGAAGGGTACAGCAATTACATTATTGTTTGAAGTGTGTTCAGCAACAATTGCAAAGTAGTCCATATAATTCTCAATTGCTTTCAATTGCAGGAAGAGGAGAAGAGGTTAATTAAGGATTATAATGACAGATTTTTGAAAGATAAAGCAAGATGTGACTGGTTGAAAGAAGGTGATCGAAATACAAGATTTTTCATAGAAGAGTAAAATGTCATCAAGCTAGAAATAGAATATTAACTATTCTGAATGAGCAGGGAGAAAGGATAGTGGAGTATGAGGAAGTGAAAGAAGTAGCAGTGGAATATTTCAGAACTCTTTTCAAGGAACAGGCTACATTCAAAGAGTAGATTCATGAGGTATTTTCTGATATTAGCTGCAAATCTATTACAAAGGAGCAGAGTGATAATATGGCGAAGGATGTTTTAGAAAAGGAGATGGTTTTTCAGTGGAGTTTTCACAAAGAACTGGGAGATTATTAAGGAGGATGTAGTAAATGCTATTTCTTATTGTTTTAAAGAAGTTTATATGTATTATCCTTTGAACAGTACTATCATAACTCTAATTCCAAAAGTGCAAAATCCGAATACCATGAAGGAGTTCAAACCTATTTCATGCTGCAATGTGGTGTACAAATGGTATTCAAAGATTTTGGCAGAGAGGTTAAAAGCTGTACTGCCTAATCTGATTAGTAATAGACAAAATGCATTTTTGAACGGTAGATCAATTGCTGAAAATATACTACTAATGCATGATATTGTACGGGGTTATCACATAAATGAAGGGAAGGCAGGATGTGCAATAAAGGTTGATTTGATGAAGGCTTATGATACTGTTAGCTAGGAATTTATACTGATTGCACTCAAAATTATGAAGTTTCCTGAGAGATTTATTCATTGGGTGGAAAATCATATATCCATACCTTTTTCTTAGAGAAAATCATATTACTGAGAGATTTCCCATACCTTTTCTTATGGTTATGGAAATGTTCTCATGTCTAATTGATCACAGATTGGCACAAGGTGGATTCAGTTTTCATCCAAACTGTAAGGAGCTGAACGTAACCCATGTTATTTTTGCTGATGATCTCTTTCTGTTATCAGCAGCAAAATTGCAGGATGGTCAAATTTTGAAGACTATCTTCGAAGATTTTGGGAGAATGTCTGGACTAAGCCAAATCTATTAAAAAGTGAAATTCTGTTTGCTAGTGTAAGCTCACAATAGAAACAGGATATTTGTGGAGCTTTGGGAATGCAGGAAGGGGCACTGCCTTTGAAGTACTTGGGAATTTCTCTTATCAGTACTAGATTAAGAATCAGTGATTGTCAAGTTGTGATAGATTCTATGAAGAAAAAGGTCCAAGGATGAAGTTCAAAGAGCTTATCTTATGGAGGTAGATCACAACTTGTTAAATCTGTTTTAATGAGCCTTGAAAATTATTGTAGTATATTTATATGCCAAAGAAAATTATTAAGGTGCTGGAACAAATAATGTCAAGATTCCTATGGAGTGGTTCTGATAAGTCTTCAGGTATTAAAGTTACACGGGAGGAAACTTGCAAACCTCTAAATGAAGGTGGATTGGGTTTAAATCAACTGAAAATCTGGAATAAAGCCTTGATGCTCCGGCATATTTGGGATATCTTTTGTAGGAAATACAGCTTATGGATTGCCCGGGTACATTTGATAAAATTAAATCAGAGATCTTTTTAGTAGATTCAGATACCTGCTAATAGTTCATGGTTTTGGAGGAAATTATTGCAACTAAGAGAGATTGCTTGGAAGCAAATTCATGCAATAGTTGGAAATGGACAAAACATCTACTTATGGTATGAAGGGAGGTTGTAACTCAGTTTGGCAGATCTATAAATGCAAAGTTAGAATCAATAATGAAGGATGGAGAATGGAGCTCGCCTACAAGAAGAAGAAGGAACCAGAAAGTGGAAGATTTAATCTCAGCAGTCCCTACAGAATGCATATCACTACCTCAGGAGCAGGATTCTTTCAGATGGGCAAGAGACAAAATTAGAATATATACAACTAGATCAGCAGTAATCAAGCTGTAGCATTCTATAAACTGGTATGGTTTAAGGGTTATATACCTCGGTATGCATTCGTAATGTGGTTGGTATGTAAAAACAGGTTGGCTACAAGAGACAGACTAATGAGATGGGGAATTATTTCGGAGAATTGGTGCCCTATTATGTGCCTTGCTAGGGAATCAATAGAACATTGGTTTTTTTTCTTGTGATCATTCAACCTATGTATGGGGTAGAATCCAGCAACCATGCATGCTTTATAAAGGAAAGTATGGCTAGAATCAGGAGGTAGAATGGTGGATACAATTTTTCTTTTCTTAGTTGTCTTCAATTACGTTCGCTGTATCTCTATTATTATACTTAATTATTTATTTGTAATTCTAAAGTTTTGACAATTTTCATTTTTTAATGAATCTATATTACATAAATTTAGCATATTACTCGTACAAGTCCATCTAAATTTAAAAAATCCATTTAAATTGTATAAATAGTCATTCTTTCCTAAAATATTCTATTAATTTTATAATCTCTCCATTCAAATTCGATTTAGGCCAAAGTAGTAGATATATAATACGGGGTTGCAAAAGTTCTCCCAAGTTACTTTTCTTAGTTTTTAATAATTTGAGCAAATAATGAGTTCATCATCTATTTGTTTGCTTTTAAAATTCTTTTTAGTCATGAAAGAATCAAATATTTAATTGCACTTATTTCCTAATATATCTCCTTCACTCATATGTTGACTTGCCACCATTAGTTAGATTAAACATAATTGAATTATGAGATAAGATTTGATTGAAACTAATTATTAAGCTGTTATAAATCAACCATTTTAAATATGTTTTATTTTAATGTTTGTCTTACAATTAGTATATTAAATTTTATGAAATAGCATTTTAAGCTTTTTTATAACAATTTTTGTTCAAAAAAATAAAAATTATAGAACATAAAAAAGTGCCCGTGCAAATGCACGGGAAAGGAACTAGTTTATTACTATGTTATTAACAATTCCTAGATTTTGTAAATACAAGAAAACATATTATAAGAAAAGATTCTACTATTTGAGAAAAGATATTACTATTTAAGTACAAGATGCTAGTTCCACTTTTTAAGTATATTTACAAATATATCACTTTTTCTCAAAAATACATAATTTTCACTTTATTTTAATAAAAAATACTTCTATTTAAGTATAAGTCAAAACTTTATTGTCAAATAGATGCAAATTTCTATTCAAACTTGAATGTTAAGGAAAGTTTATTTCTTCAAACACCAATTTATCCCCAAAATATACTACATTATTAGTAAAGGTGCCATCTTAGTTTTTATCAACAAATTTTTTGTTAAGTTTTCTCCTAATGACACTTATTGCTTTATTAAAATCACAAACTTTACTATTTCTAGAAGACACTTTTGGTATTATTAAAATATCTTATTATAAGCAAACATACTTATTTTAGAAAAATTTACCGTTTATTTGCAAAAGAAGATTATTGTTTCATTTGCAAAGCGATTGAAAAGATATGATATCTTTTTGTAGTAAAATTAAAAAACTAAATTAAGTATATATTTTGCTTCTTTGGTTTTTGCTTGAAAGGGTTAAGAATATGAATTGATCAAAGACTTTGATCAAAACACATCATTAACTTTCCCCTCTTTTTCTTGAAGTAGTAATTTTATTTTCCATAGACATTGAAATTCTTTGCCTCTTAACGATAAAGCCCTAAGGATTAGGCCATCTTCTAGGCTTCACAGACTTACCCCAAACAAAAAAGAACAACCTCCAATTAAGCTATCAATATTGAGGTCTAAAGTAAACTTA